TTAAGGTAAGGGTTAGGTTTAGGGTTAGGTTTAGGGTTAGGTTTAGGGTTAGGTTTAGGGTTAGGTTAAGGGTTAGGTTTAGGGCTAGGTTTTGGATTAGGTTTAGGGGGGTTAGGTTTAGGTTTAGGGGTTAATTTTAGGTTTAGGGTTCACAGCGTGCTTCTGTCTCCGCCCTGTTGATGACGTCAGCTACGCGGTTTAGTCGGACGCGGTTTAGTCGAGCATGGTTTTGTGGTGAAACCATTAACCTGATGTAAGTAGAACGAAATACTTACAAAGCAATTTCAATTCTTTTTGAGAAATGGATTCTGGTGCCTGTGAACAAAATGCAAATTTGTTTTAATGAAATTAGAATGCCTGACAATTGTCTTCTAGATTCCTGTTATAGAATTTGATTTAATCATATGTCCATAGCTGGGGGCACATACACAATTACAATGTTTTATCTATCTTCTACAATTCCCCATTTTGGGAATCAATCATGACAAGAAATATTTCAGGCTGGCTCACCCATCCCCCTCTCTTTATTTGGTGAGATGGGCAGTTCTATAAATTTTTTAAAAAACATAAATAAATTTTACTTCATTCTTTACTTTGATGTCTTTAAGGGAATGAAAACTGCGTTTTCTACTACTCACTTTGCCAACTGACTGCAACAGCTTTGCAGCATAATTAGACACGACTTCGGCATCTTTCTTGGCTTTATCACGGTATCTTAAAAAATAAAAATAAAGTTCCAAAAATGAACTTCAGCAAATCTAACCCCCAAATCAATAGATTTTGAAATATCCATAGTTTACTTGGTAGTAACCAATGGATGCAAAGCCAACTGTACTGTATGTATGGAGTGTGCAAAGCAGTAAGAATTTTCAATATTTTATATTCAAGTTGGAATTCTCTAACCAAGAATATGAATTCTTTGAACAAGAAATTGAAAGTGGATGAAGTAAACCTTGTCCTTTCTCCAAATGAGTAAAATGGAGTTACAAAAAAGGAACTGAGGAACTTATTTTCTTTAAGTTAAGCATGTCATAAGCTTAGAGTCATTACATTGCCACAAACTGCCCAACCCCTTTTTATGTTGACTCTTATCTGGCACCAATTTCGTACTAAACTTTAGTTGACTGGATTCTCATGTACAGGCTTGGGCAATAAATCTTTTGAACTGCAACTTATGGTATGGTCCTGATTCTTTGCTAACATCTACTGAATACAAATCTGGAACCAACCAATTACAAATTATCACTTCTATATATACTGCCTCTGTCTAAATGCTTGTCTTAAACCTACAGGAAAGCTTTTTCCATTGTGATTACGACTTATTATTTGTACTATGAATTAAAAGCAGTCTTTGATATTTTTAGAGCTAGCAGATTGCAAAAATTTGCCATCAGTTTGAGAGCACCTTTATACCGAAGTTAAAGCCACCCCAAAATAGGGAGCTTATAAAGTAGTCACAATGAAAATCTTTGCAGAAAACATTGGTTTTGAAGGGGATCTCAGTACAAATATAAAACAACTGTAGAAAAATACTTACATATTTTGCAAGCTGATAAATTTACTCGAATCTGCAATCATATCTGGAATTGTACCCCTAATGGGTAAATTTCCTTGACCTTCTTTGCTCACAAACTCTTTTACAGCTCGAGCCAGAATCCAAAAAGAAGAAGTCTAAGGAGAAAGGAGAACCAAACAAGTCAAAAACCAAAATTGATTGATCAAGTTTTTATTCAGAGTGTCAGAATACTAGACTAGAATACTAAAGTGGTTTGTATTTATTACCTGCTGTGAGAGATTGATACAATGATCATCACTGAAAATATCTTCAATACAACTTGGTACCTAAAAGTCAAATTCAAGATAATATTTATTTCCACATTATTTTTTCTATTAGGAATGCAGTCACTAAGCAATTAAAAATTCTGATAGAAGGTGGCAACCTTCCTTTACCTTAGTAGCAATTACAGCGGTGTTTACATTTTTAATGGCTTCCTCAAAGTTTTCCTCATCTTCCAGAATTCCATTTTCATTCTTTAAAATTCCTAGAAAGAAATGAAGAACCTACTGAATAAGATTTTATTAACTAGAAAATAGGTGATAAACAGACAACCTCTATCTTTTGAATTAATATTACTATGTGGGAATTCTTTAGATAGGTTAAGGAACTTCTGATAAATACTGCATGCCACTGATGTAGACTTAGACACATATTTACAGTACATTCGTCTTTAAATAAAGTTCACCCAAACATAATACTACAATAGATAGACAGAGATGGTCAAAAACTCTCACCTTGCCTAATCATCTCCCGGAAGGCCTCCTTTTCTTTGTAGTTCTTAGGTATCTGACCATTATTCTAAACAGAAATACAACAGGTTTGAAGTTTATTAAATTATGTATTAATTAAGGCAAATAAAAATAGGTTCAACATCAAACAGTAAATGAATCTGGTTCGTTTTTTTTCCATAAGAACAAATGAGACTTAAAATTCTACTCTATTAGGAAACAAGTCAGAATTCCCATTTTACATATAATAATGCTAACCAAATCATAGGTAAATGCACCTGCTGGACGATGGGTTCAAGCAAGAATATATAAAGTGGAGCACATCAAAATGTACATATTTCAGTCGAAATGTTTAAGCCAGGATACTCGTGAGTTACAGCCAAATTCAATCAATTTTAGTGTAAATAATTATCATCAGTGGAATAAGCTATGACTAAATTAAGGCCCATTCTATGACTCAAGAGTACATGAGGTTTTTTAAAATTTCCATTTGCATACATATATAGATATGAACAGATATATTATCTCCCATACAGGATGTGGCTAGTTTAAACAAGGCACTAAAACTAATAACAAGCTTAGCAACAGGATTTACATTAAAAAATAGGCATTCTTTGGAAGATCATGCTCCTAAAAATGTGATCTGCCCCAGAAGTGGTATTCAGCAGGTTCTGACCAGTTCTGGAGAACAGGTAGTGGAAATTTTGAGTAGTTTGGAGAACCGGTAAATACCACCTCTGCTATTCTCTGCCTCCTGAGTCCCAGCTGATCGGGAGGGAATGGAGATTTTACAGTATCCTTCCCCTGCCATGCCCACCAAGCCATTCCCACCAAACCACACCACACCCACAGAACCAGCAGTAAAAAAAATTGATCTGCCCCCTGCAACTCATTTGGCCTCCTGTAAGGGCCTAAAACTTTGGCTCTGCCAAATGGCCCTGGGGCTGAAATGGGGTTGTCCCAATCTGGAGACAGCTGGTAGATTACATAAGATCCAACTTCCAACCCATTTACCCATGGATCCTTTATATAATTTATTGTTAATGTTTTGATTTTAAGGAGCAATGTTTTAATGTTGCTAACTTTGTCTATGGTGCTTTTATAATACTGTAAGCTGCCTAGAGTCACTTGATGGCGAGATGCATAGCCTACAAATTTAATAAATACAGTTAAACATGATGTAGACATGGGCACAATCCACCCCCAACAACCTAAGCATATGGATGAATACTTCCCCGGTGCAGAGAATAGGATATAGCTGAAATGGCATATTGGAGATGAACACTAAATTCCCTTTCTCTGCAGTGCTGCCATGCACAGCCTGCAAACAGTTTTCTGCGTGCCAGTTAGATGGAAAGAAGAGATTGGGGAACAAGAAGCATTTATTGAAGTCTGTGGGGCTTCACTTAACCACAACCGACCCAAGTTAAGGGCTTCTAAAATTTCCTCTGAATGGCATTTGATCAGCTTCATAACTAGCTACAATTCAATCTCACGTATAATTGCTTGATTCAACCCTGTGATTTCAGCAGCATGCAGGCAGCCTGTGATCAAGACTGCAGCATATAAAAGCACATAAGCTTCTCTGGTGGAAGGCATTATTCCCCCGGATCTGCAGCAGAAAGCATGAGTGACTACTACCGTCAAGGTATCTACATACCTCATGACACCATTTTTCTAGATACTGGGATACAATCACAATCCATGGAATGTGGCTGTGTTCCTGCAAATGCAAAATTAAAGCAAGTATAGCGAAATAAAGAAACCAACGGAAATAGTGCACTTCTAAAGTTGGAAAGCAGGGTAGTTGGTACAAACTGAATTCATAGTGCAACAAAAATAGCTAAATCAACAGAATTGCCTTCGGTTAAGGGTTGCTACGAAATAATTGTGGACTAATCCTTTTCACTTGGTGCGATAGATTGACAGAATGTAAATTGTTTCCTCAGTTTTCCATTTGATTTTGAAAAACCCCAGGGAAAAATAAGAGATTCACAATCCTAGGTTGGAAATCACAACAAGTCAAATGGAGCTGGGCACTTTAAAGAAATTCAAAGCATTTAGATTCCTTTGAATTATATAAGCTTATTGGCTGGCTGCCCCACCTTAAAATTATACTGAAAGCATATGGAGAAGGCAAGTCTGCAATAATGGAGCTTGTTCAAAAAGCATGCTTGGATTTGTTTTTTTTCCCCATAAACCAACAGACTGAACAAATTTCTATGTAACTTCAATGAGCCAGTCACCATAACAAAATCAGATTTGACATGTAACAGATGAATCCATTGATCTAGATCAAGCCCCATTTTCATCTCTGGAAAGAAATATCCTTTGTATGTCCCAAAGGTGCTTTTCTGATAGGCAACTGGATTTCCTTGTTGTTGTTTTCCTTGAAAACATTTCGCTTCTCATCCAAGAAGCTTCTTCAGTTCTGATCTGAAGAAGCTCCTTGGATGAGAAGCGAAATATTTTCAAGCAAAAAATACCCAAGAAAGTCCAGTTGCCTTTTGGAAAAAGCACCTTTGGGATAATCATGATCTGGATGATCGAGACACTTCATAGCTTCCCTGTATAATAGCATATAATGCAGTTCTAGAACAAATTCAAGAAACATTTCCCATACTTATCTATGGATATTCTCAGTCATCCAGGTTGTCCCAAAGGTGCTTTTCTGATAGGCAACTGGATTTCCTTGTTGTTGTTTTCCTTGAAAACATTTCGCTTCTCATCCAAGAAGCTTCTTCAGTTCTGATCTGAAGAAGCTCCTTGGATGAGAAGCGAAATGTTTTCAAGCAAAAAAACCCCAAGAAAGTCCAGTTGCCTTTTGGGATAATCATGATCTGGATGATCAAGACACTTCATCGATGCTCTGTATAATAGCATATAATGCAATTCTAGAACAAATTCAAGAAACATTTCTCATACTTATCTATGGATATTCTCAGTCATCCAGGTTGTCCCAAAGGTGCTTTTTCTACAGGCAACTGGACTTTATGGTTTTTTTCTTTGCAGACATTTCACATCTCATCCAAGAAGCTTCTTCGGCTCTTCTCTCAGAGCTGAAGAAGTTTCTTGGATGAGAAACAAAACCTCTTTAAAGAAAAAACCAGAAAGTTCAGTGGCCTCTTGAAAAAGCACCTTTGGGACAACGCTAATGCTTTCATGCACATACTGATGAGTTGGCCAAGCCTGTACCAACCTTTTTTTCCATATGCTCTAAATCATAAGACTGGATATGTTCTCTCAGCTCTGGAAATGGATTGTCCAGTCTCAAATCATCCAAGGCGTTATCAGGGTGAGATTCTATAA